AATGTTCTTCCGACGTCTGATTTCTTTTTAAAAAATGCGTTTCTAAAGTGCATAAATTTTTGGGATTGACTGTATAGCCAATACATCCTTAACTGCTATATCCTTATTAGCAAAAAGTTCGATTCCACGATTTTATACATTTATACTATAATATGTACAGATTTAAGTATTATAATTTGTCATGGGGTTTCACAATTTGTAACATCGTTTGCTTAAATATTATCACGCAAATCGTCAAGAAACTATTCCAAATTGACACATTTATATTGATACGCGTGTATGCAGATCTCGGTTTAAAAGTATCAACTGTCCAGAGCTAAGTAAAATGATGTTTGAATAAACAATAGTAAACGATTTAAACTCGTTCAGACGTATTCAGTACTAGCTGTAATCGATTTGGATCGATTACTGTAGATTGAAATTCAATTACATTCAAAATCCAATTATTTCTATTCTAAACTTTTCTACGATTAAAATATATTTACAATTTACTATACCTCCTTGCAAACTCTGTCTTTCCTTAGCTCTGACATTTAATATACAAAGACAGTGATCGTGACACGATAGTAGGAACTTAGCAATCCCAAGCACTTCATTCACTACTCATCATAGCCGATGTACTTCATTTATTCTTGGCACGAATAATGTTGAACAGATAACGACCTGATAACAACTTATTAGAATGATTTTCGAGCTCGACCTATTAGGCTACTTTGGCAAGATCTCGTATTACGTACCAGTGATCTTTATACACGTTTTCCCCTTTTATTATTACGCGTCACAAAAATATTTTTTGTATTATAAATTTTACTTAGAATAATGAAATCCTCCCTTTGGGCTTATCGATAAAAGACAGCTTGCATCGTAATCAGCCAAGCAAAGTGCAAAAATATGGATAACGACAATGAAATTCACCTAATAAGAATTTTTTATTCTGTACTGCGAATGTGCTACTAATTACCGTGCAAATACATACATTAACTATGGAATTCCCTGAAGACGGCCAACGACTGTGTCCCCCATAAAAATAAAGCAAAACTAATTGTCAGATGTCGGCGTGTATCAGTGATACAAAGGTACGAATTACCAATTAAGAGAGTTCAGTCTATCGTTAAATTATACCTACGTAATTCAAGGAAAATTTAAAAACGGAGTAGTCCAAGTAACGGTACCCATGTATCCGGTAAAAACGACGGAAAGGTAATATTTGTTCGACTTGACGTTCAGAGTATTACTTTCTCGAATAAGTCAGTCTCCGATATTTAGATTTGAATACGTTCGACAGGCTTCTGTTGTACCTCTATATTTTCCCTTACAGCGAATTACTATAACATTTAGAATAAATTTTCATATCTCGTTGTTATTCGCATCTGAGCATTTAATTGAATAAATCTTCAAATATATCTGCAATAACGCAATTTCATAGAGACAGATGTATATGTTTAAACTAGTTCTAATATTTTAATAGTCCCTCGAGAATTAGCAGCTACCACGACGTTGGACATTTGCTTCCAGCAAACCGCGGAGACGAATTCGTTCAGATCTTCCTCCTTTCGCTCCTGCAACTCTAATATGCTTCGAACGGCATCGAATTTGTACGAAAACAATTGTTTCGACAGTCCCTTGTAATAGACGTAAAGCGCGTTGTTCTCCGATCCGCATGCGACGTAATCACCGTCGGTGGCCAGACCGACGAAATTCTTCTCGTTAACATGTCCGACGAACGAGCGCAGACAATGCGGATTATTAATGTTCCACATTTTTAGTTGAGAATCAGTACTAGCCGATACGATTTCTTCCTTATTAATGAACTTGACGTAGGAGACGGCTTTGCGGTGACCCTTGAAAATGCATAGCGCTTCCTTCATGTTACGAAGATCGTAGTAATGGACGCAGTGGTCGGCGGAACCGAAAGCCAAGTGGCACGAGCTGCGTGGATTAAATTTCACGCAACACACGTTAGCCTTTGCTTCCAAGGAAGCGACGGAATGATCATTGTTCAAATGCCATAGCTTGACCCTGGCGTCGTCCGAGCCGGACGCTATGAGCTTGGGATCTATGTCGTTAAAGTCGACCGACCAGCATCTCTTTTCATGCTCTTGGAACGTTTTTGTTCTTTGATAAGTCACGGCGTCCCACACGGTCACAGTTCCCTCGTAGTCCGACGAGGCTAGCATCCCCTTGTGAAACGAATTCCACGAGACGCACGATATCTTTGAGCTAGAAACCATTTCCACGCAGGGGTAGTGTATATCTACGGTGTCTCTTATTACCGCGGTATAATCGAATACTTTAATACGTTTCGTGACTCCAGCTATCGCGAAGAATTCGTTGTCTTTGTCGAATTCGATACTGGACACGATCGTGGATACATTAAAAATGTCCGACGAGTAATTTAAAGTCGCCAAAGGACGTAGCGATTTGTATCTCGAGAATTTCGCAAGGTTCTCTCGGAACACGTCTAGTCCAGAGCTCAGACCCTGCCATGAGTCGCTCTGAGCCTGTGACTTGTGCCCGAGGACCAATTCCTTGGCGCGAGAGTCAAAGTAACATTGAACAAAGTCGTCGAAATGAGCGTGTACTCTCTTCCTGCGTATAGCCAGAGTCGAGCCAACGTTGTAATCGGGTTGCTTTCTGCTCCCTGTGGGATTAGCGAACGCGTCGCCTCCGCCAGCAACGACTTTTTCGTTTGGTTTCACCATGTTCGCGTCTATCATGTCTATGAGACCGATCATTTCTTTTCTAATAGCCGAGACCTGCGGGTTATCGGTATCGCTCGATTTCTGCAGTTCCTCCACTGTCGGACATTTGTTCTGCACGTCTCTCAAAATATTCTCTACTTCCTCCATATCCCTCTTGATCAACGCTATTTGCTTTTGCAACTGATTCTTTTGATCTTCCTTCTGCTGCAGCAAGTGTTTCAGAAACTCGTGGAGCAACTTATTTTGCGCCGCCCACGTTTCCGCTTCCAACAGATTTTTCCTCTGCGTCAACGCTTCCAGCAACACGTTCACTTCTGGTAATGTCAGATTAGAGCTCTCGGCAGCGACCAGGTCTCGCAGCCCGTCGTACGCCGGTGCGGATATGTCCGTGCCTGTCCTGTGCTTGCCATCGTACGAGGAACCCAACTCGGCGAAACCTTTCATTCGCGTTTTATATTTGGATATCAGTTTGTGTAACAAATGATTCGGGAAGATGTCTTGTTGGGTCAACGTGTAGCTGCATTTCGGGCAACATCCGTTGGCCTCCAACGATTTTGTTATACAACGGTAACAAAACGTGTGGCCGCAACGCGTGATATGAGCCTCGTCGATTAATTCGAAACAAATGGGACACAGATAATCATTGTTCTTATCTTCCAGCGTACCGCTAATCCTATGTAGAACGTTCGCCGATTGCTGCTGTTTACTCAATTTACTACATTCACCTACAGCCCCGCTGCTCCCAGCCGTGCTATCATTACCCAAGTTACTATCGCTGATAGCAGACATTTTTCTTCTTAATCGATCGATATTTCTTAGAATACATTTAATCACCTTAAAATACATCTGGTAATGTTAATCTATTTTTCCAAATCTCATATTTCCTTGCAATGCCTTTCTTCGAACCATTTCTAAATACACGATTTTCGTTTGCCCGACAAAATATATATCTTTACGATCAATATGCTTCCAATATTCTTTATCTTTTGTATATTATAAAATATGGGTCTGGCAGTTTCTTCTGTGCAGCGATTCTTTTCATATCATGCGGTCATACAATACGGTCTCTCAGTCTAGTCTCTCCTGAAACAATGAAAATAATGCCATTGAGCTCGTATTCAAAAGTCTTGTCAACAGAAAATATACTCTTATCGAGAATTGTTTAAAACAATAAAGGAAAAGAAATTCTAAACATATTGTACGGTAAGCTCAGGCAGCATTATGACAATTGTTTCAGGCTGGAACTATGAGTTAAGTATTTTAAATAATTATATGCTAATCCACGTGATATGAAAAATGAAAATAGAAAGAGGAAAATAACAATAATAGTATGTAAAAATATACGTGCTGATAATGCGTCACACTTATAATTCAATGCCCCATGTAATAGGTATAGATAAATTTTTATTTATCTTGCACTAATTATCATTTTGCAAAATAAATGTTTATTTTTGATCTGTAATTTTAAATACAATTACCTCTTATCAGATATGATTTAAGGTCGTGATGACGTTAATGTATGATAAGGAAATTGTGGTGAAAAGAATTATCAACACAAATTTTGTGGAATATATCATAAAAACATTAAACATACTGATAAAGTGACTTACGATACAAATTTATGAATAATGTGATACTTACAACAAAATACTTTTCTGTAACTTGCTCTCAACTTGTTCGTTGTATCTAGCCGCTGTAGGAGTTAAAACAATGTTTCTATCATCTTCGGTCTCATACACGCCAAGCACCAATCCCTTCTGTTTCGAACGAAATCATTAAAAATATAAGTTCCCCTGCATCTGATCCCACGTTATTTTACGATACATTCACACAAATAATGTACTCGATTCATAGCCTCGCGGAAGCTAATACTTGCTTATTCGATCGCGTCTTTACGCGGAAAGAAAAGCAAAAAGAAGAAAACTGATGCAACTATACCAAACAATATCAATGATACTCTTTACTAAAGTTTACTAAAGTCAGAACTTTGCAAAATTTTAATCGCTCTCTTTCCCCCCCTTTTACAATGGATACCACAACGAGCAAATTTTCCGTTTCAACTTCAACAGTTCGTCCCGTAAAATAAAAGTATATCCACCGATCCCACGAGAAAATGCCGAGTCGCACTGTTTGACATCGATTTCTAACAAAACAACTTTATAATTACCTTCATGGTCGAGATGCAGGACAAGAAACGTAACTGCGAATTTCCGTATTGCAGACCCTTACCTCTGATAAGAGACAATGCCATAATTTGTTCAAGAGAGCACTTATATGTGTGACTATATAGACAAACGCGAATGTGTACGCGTATACGTACACGTTATCTGTACACGTGTTTCCCTCGAAAGATGGAATATCTAGATATCTTAGTCACTCCCGTTATAAATTCGCTACCCTAGGTACTTTTATTTTTTTCAATTGCCAGCTAGTGTGAACCTTTGTGAATCGTGCATTTATGCTAAAATTAGTAAAATTTAGTAAAACCTCCAATCGGTTTGAACTTTGAACAACGTTCAATCGTTACGGTTACGGCGTATGGGTGTACTCGCAAATTTTATTAACGCTCCTTTACAATGATCAACTATTTAATACGTAAGATATACATTTTTCTCTCTTTTTACATAAAATAGATAGAGTCGAAGAGTTTCCTTCAGTTAAATATACAAATCTACCTATGCACACTCGGTATGGATTAAAAGGATCTACAAAAACTATTTAGCGAGGAATTCTGCCATAGGGTCTTCTTCACGCATTCGCTTCATTTGGAAGGCTTCGATCTCTTCGGCCGACGGTTCTTTCGCTTCGTACATACTATTGTACGGTCGTTTTCGCTCGTCTATTTGCAGCAATCTCTCCGCTTCCTTCCGCCTCTCCTCCTCCTTGTGCAACGCCTGCTGCAGCTTGTCCTGTTCCTGTTTAGCTTTCTTCTTATTTTTTCGTTTCTCCTTTTGCTTCTGTTTCTTTTCTCGTCTCTTGCTGGCTTTAGATTTCTTTATCGTTCGCGACACTTGCTCTTGCTCGTCAGAACAACTATCGCTGCTCGATGATCCTTCATCGGACGAATGCGCCTTCTCCTCCTCGTCGGACTTGTCTTCCTCCTCGCTCGCTGCTCTTTTGATTTCGGCAACCGCTGCCTCGGCTGCCTTCTTACCCGCGTTACCCGTACAGTACGAATTTTTCACAAACGAATGACAACATTTGTATCCCCATTTGCCGGCCTGCCAGTAGGATCCCCAAACGCAAGTGTGATTATTCGGATAGACGTCCTCCTCGTATTTCGATCTGATCACTTGTCTGTCTTGCCCTTTAATGATCTAATCAACGAATCAAATATAAGAAAATTGTTGGTCAAGACTTAGTGATTTGCACAAGTTTTAGTAACATCAAATGTAGATAAAGATATGATGTACCTTTCCATATCTAGAGTATTCAACGTATTGTTCTGTTTGCGCCAACAAAAGAGAAGGCGGAGGAGCGTCGAGATGTTCTTCACCTCCGTATCGGTTGATTATGCTTCCGCGAGCTTTGTCCTTCAGTTCGTCGCGTTTTTTATCGTATTCTTGCTTAAGCAATTCCAGTTTCGTGGGCTCGGCGAGTAAGTGAACGTCAACACCCCGTTCGTGTGCCTCCCACGCAAATAACTGAGCGTTCGCGTGTTGTTGCGTATCTCCCGAGAACCGTGCAAAATTCTCGCCTTTATAGTCCACTCTGCAAATAAACGTAGATGTTTAGCATCTACATCGAACGCGAGTCAAACAATTAGAGTAATCGACGCGTACTCTCGCTCTGTACCAGCGTAAGGATTGTCTCGCATGGATCTCGTCTTAGGATCGTTCTCCTCGACGATGGCTCTGTGCTGAGAAGGATCATAACCAGCCCACCTACGATCAACAAACATAATAAATATTAGAAACTAAATAAACCTTTTACCAACTAAATAAATATTACCTATCCCTCTTCCCATCATAATCCATTGATAAGTCTGGTTGTGTGAATTCATCCGGTGCTATATTGGCATTCGTATACTTTGCACCTATTTTACGTGGTCGTTCCATACATTCCTTCTTCTTATGGGTCATTGCCCCGCAATTATCACATGCTCCTTTGCGATACTTGGTCGCTACTTTCGAAGAATCTACACCACGCCTGTACCATTCATCGATATCGCTGAATTGTTTCTGTTTCTCAGGCTGCGGCCTTTGGTGTTTCAAAGTGGGTCCCTATGGAACGTTTATATACCATTAAAATGTCTTCAAATTATTTCTACTAATAACGAACGACTGCTAAACTCTGTAGACGAAGCAACACATACCTGTGCTCCAAAATACCATGGTGTGGCACTAATGTATTGTGGAATGTGTGGATTGATATCTTTGCCTTCTTCGTCTACTGCAGCCGGTGCTGTGCCAGCTTTTCTTGCTTCTTCCAATTCCTTTGCTTTTCTCCAGTCTTCCCTACTCTTTTTTCTCGGCTCATCTTCAAAGTTACTCTTGTTCTTTATAATTTTTGACACAGGCACGTTAGCCAGCGTATTGGCCATTTTATTTATACTACAATGTTAACTCCTTTTGTTTTGAGTTTAGAACATCAAATGACATTAAAAACTATATTGATTCTCTAACACAGAAAGTGCTCACGCCCAGGATTTCGTGATTCCCGTACAAGTGCTGCACCAAGAGTATGAGACCAAGTACTAACTGTGTTTTGAACCCAGGCACTGCCACTCTTTGTAATAGTATCTCCTCGGTGAATCCAACACTTCATCATCACAGTCTGCAAAGTATAGGCTGTGATTTTATTCAAGCCACACACAATTTCCATTGACCGAACGAGTTTCACGTCTTCTGCTTTTATATACTTGTAATTTATAATAATTATTGTACGTTAATTAAAAGAAACAGAAAGCGATAATGCGCGGGGAAAGCAGTAAATGAAAAGAGACGTTTGTTATAAATGGAAAAAGTGTTCGATGTTCGATTACAGAATACAGAAACGGCTGGTTGATGAGAACCATCCTGCAGGGCCCCATTTAAAAAGTGGGGATTTATCGACAGTATCGGGGCCTTGTAAATATAGGCATGGTTCAAATTTAATGTTCTGGTTATAATTTTTTTTTATCGCACGTATTCGTTTAATTTCTGATCATGTGTCTCGCGTAGCGTTCCGGAAACGTTGATGCGTCGTAATTTTCTCATAAGAAACAGCTAAAATTTCCAGCTGCTTCGAGGATCATTGGAATGTACGATCAAAATGGAGGCAATGCCAAATAGATCGATATTGTCCCATAATGTCACGTATCGTTGCTGAGTTTTCTACTTGTCGCACAGTAGTAAGTTACAGTTTATAAACCTTGGACCAGTGCGCAGCATAACGTCGTTTAATTTAGTTAACGAGCTGGTTGATCAGCTGCGCCCGTACCCGGGAAATTTAACTCCCAGCGCTAAACACATTTTTTCCAAATTTTTTCCGTCTCTCTTCCGTTCTTTATTTACAAAGTTCCACTTTGTATGACTGTCGTGCCACTTTCATTATTTTAGTATTCGTAAAATAGGTGATAATAGATATATAAGGTACAGGGATGAGAAAATAATTTGAGATTGTTCAAAATATTTTCATTTCTTTGCATTCAGAATAGAGCATGGAATGGATGGATCGTGTCCGCTTCTCCTTCCGTCCTTTGGGGAAAAGGATCACTCCGAGAGAGAGACCGCCACGTATTCATGCCAAAAGGTCGGTCTCTACAGACCAGCGTCGGATGCGATTGACTTGGGATATCATACGTTAGACAATGCCTGTCGTTCGACGTCCTCGTCCGTCGTTTTATCGGTTCCGATCAGACAACAAATTTTGTTGCAACAAAAGTGCATTTACGCGACTGACTTGTGCCAACTGGACGACACGCTGTTGTTAAAGATATTCGGTTGGCTGTGTACCAGAGATCTCTGTTCCATTGCTCAAACCTGCAGGCGCCTGTGGGAGATTGCGTGGCACCCGTCGCTTTGGAGAGAAGTTGAGATACGTTACCCTCAGAATGCAACGATTGCGTTAAACGCTTTGACCAGGCGAGGGTGTCACGTGTATATCCGCCGTCTCGTGTTCGAAGGTGCCGTCGGTTTAGCCGGGGTCTTTGCTCAGCTGCCGTTTCCAAGTTTAACTTGTCTAGTTCTACGACATTCCCGGCGCGTTACGGACGCGAACGTCACGGCTATCTTAGACAATTGTGTACACTTGAAGGAATTGGATCTAATGGGATGCGTATGCGTAACGAAAGCTTGCAGCAGAATAACGACGTTGCAATTGCAATCGTTGGATCTGAGCGATTGCCACGGGGTCGAGGATTCCGGGTTGGTACTGACTCTCTCTCGAATGCCGCATCTCGCTTGTTTGTATCTGAGACGATGCGCCCGCATCACCGACGCTAGTCTCATAGCGATCGCGTCCTACTGCTGCAACCTGCGGCAATTATCAGTCTCCGATTGCGTCAAGATAACCGATTACGGTGTACGCGAATTGGCCGCCCGCCTCGGTCCATCCCTGCGTTACTTTTCCGTGGGCAAATGCGATCGCGTGTCGGACGCCGGCCTTTTGGTCGTCGCCAGGCATTGTTACAAATTAAGATATTTAAACGCCCGTGGCTGTGAAGCGCTTAGCGACAGTGCTACGTTGGCACTGGCACGCGGATGCCCCCGGTTGAGAGCGCTTGATATAGGAAAATGTGATATCGGCGACGCGACCCTCGAAGCTCTTTCCACCGGTTGCCCAAATTTGAAGAAATTGTCCTTGTGCGGTTGCGAACGCGTTACAGACGCTGGATTAGAATCGTTGGCGTATTACGTGCGAGGGCTCAGACAGCTAAACATCGGTGAATGCCCCAGAGTTACATGGGTCGGGTATAGGGCGGTGAAACGTTATTGTCGTCGATGCATTATAGAGCACACGAATCCCGGTTTCTCGAGCTGAGCCTTGATCTTCCGAACCACCCTTCCTCCTAACATTACTCGACGACTATTTATTAACACTCGGTTTAGTACTTTTACTAAATGCTAAATACTAATTTGTAAAAAGACGATTATTCGACAATTGTAAAGAATATATATGGTACGCGCAATCTGATTTCGCCCCGACTATTTATTAATTTAATACGGTGGAAATTGACCGTACAGTTCCATAGAATTTGTATATTTGTTTTATAAATAAAGATTCTTTTTAATTTTATAAGTTCCTCTCGGCATCAATACTTGTAGTTTCTGCGATCGATACATGTATCTATATAGTTTGGAAATGGTTCGGAAGAATGACAGTTTTGTTGGTCCACGTGTACCAGTCGATATAATGATGATGTAAATCTCTCTGTTGATCGAGCCTGCCGTACCGCTATGTTCGATAGTCAGAACCGGAGGAACGATTCCTAAATCAGTAAATTTTACTGCAACGATGAAGACAGTCGTTACTCGGTAATTACGAAGCAAACTCTGTACAAGTCATTGCTTATGATAAAATATTCGCCCGTTTCGTTTTCGAGAGTTTTAACCTCTGTTCTCGAAGCAATAACACGATTCGAACGTGCAGACTTATACTAGACAAAGAATCAAGTATCGACATTGGGAATTAGCTAGAAATAATGAGGCCTGCACAAAGGAGACAGCAGGGCTTGCAGTACGGCGTTTTCTTGTTACTTATGCAAGCCATGAATTTCGGTATCGATAAGATTCCACCGGCCACTTTAATCACGATTATTGCACAAGTGAGTAAATGATAGCTCGATCTCGTACGAACGAATCATCTGACGACCCAACGATCTTCATATAGGTATCGCTTTATATCGGTCTGATAAAAGTTCCGTGGAACGCAGAGGAGGCATGCATATCCGCGATCAAAGTTTTCAAGTATCGCGATTGGAACTCGTTCATCGTATCGAATTTCGAGCATGGTTCGGACATGCACCTGTACTATAACATGGTTTCGTTGATTTTGAAAGGTTACTATTTGGAACCTATGTACGGAACCATGAATTTTGCTGTCTTATTAGCTATACTCTCTCTCGGATGCAGTGCTATGTACGCGAGTCTCGGCTACGGGTTGATGCAACTGACAGGAGATTTCGGGTATTACACGCAATGCGCTATTGGGTTTTCCGCCGTTCTGTTTGCTTTGAAAGTAATCGTGGTCTGCGAGGAACACGATAGAATGCAAAATGTAGGGGGACTCAGAGTCCCCAGTAAAATTGCTGTGTGGGTCGAGCTGATCTTGATTCACCTCTTGGTTCCACATTCTTCCTTCGTCGGTCATCTCGGAGGTATCCTTGTTGGTTGCTTGTACTGTTATACTTTCGTTGGAGAAATGATTGATAACATTGTGTGTACTGTAACTGGTGCTCCTATCATACACGAGGAGCAATTTTATAGAAGGCGCAGTTCGTACTTCAGGTGAATAAGTAAACAAAAACGTGGAGCTTTCTCAATTTAATTTTATTAAGGTGATATAAGATTACAAAAGCATATTATTTTTCTATACCATGTATATCTAAAGGACTGTAAAGCTACGTTTTAAATATTTATTATACAATATGTAAAATAATAAATTAATGTACACTCTGTTTATAAATGTCAATTGTACATGTATTTTTTACATATTGTGCGATACATCATAAAGGGAAAAGGTTTACGCAAGTTGTATCCCGCCTGTAACGCGATAGAACGTTGACGTCAATCTGTTTTCTCAGATCTGTCTTCTGTTCTGTACGATTGTGTATCAAGTATCTGACAAAATTCGTTTCGTTTATTCGTGCGGACTTAAGCAACAGAACTAATTTCATTTTAATATTTTGTACAATTTGTACAAAGTTACGTTGGGTATTTTGGTGTCCGAGCTTAGCAATAACGTCGCTGGAAAAATGCGTTGAGAAAGTATGATCAGGAAATGTATACAGAAACGTGCACAAGTAAATAGATAGAGAGAACTCACTGATTGACTGATGATCCATTCTGTGCGGGATGTCGTAAAATACAAAATACGTGCACATCTTTTTTAACAGAGTCAAATCCTCTTGAATACTTCCAGTAGTTAAATAAGATTTAATGTGCGGTATTAATTCTACGATGAGAAAACGATTGAGAATATTGAAAGATTCAGTTTGAAAAAATGTATGCTCACCGTGTTCCCAGTTATCCATGACGTACGAGATCTTTTGTTTGATTGCGAGTATACTTTCCGCGCAGAGCATCGGGTTTTTATTTTCTATACAAGACTTGTTCAACATTTGGGACGAAATCAATTTTAATTGCCATATCGAGAGACTGCTCGGTTCTTTTTCCACGATCTCCAGACATTTTATTAGATTTACCCACAGAGGAAGCAGGCTGACTTTGTCTTTTATCACGCACTCATAAACAATTATAGCGAACGTGTGTAGGAACTGTCTCTCGGATTCTGTCATTTCGAAATATCGTCCGTCGATCTTTGACAAGGGATTCGTGTCCTTCGAGACGAACGACGATTCTGCGATTTCCATCTTTTCGCTGGAACAATCTGACTGTTCGTTCCAGCTACCGCTCGTCTTCTCGGATGAATCGCTTAAACTCTGAGACACATAGCCAGAACTATTTTTGCATGAATTCCCGCTCGAATGTGCTTTCAAGTTAACTTGGTCTTTATCTTTGTCGGTTTTAGGCCACTGCAAAAAGTACTTTACTATATTTAGTATAGTTTTGTTATTCGTGAATAAAGTCACGCTCTCGGGGCGCGCAGCCCATGCCATAACATTTTCCGTCGTCAACGTTTGAGCGATCAAACTTCTAAAACCCTGCAACATACGATATTATTACGGTACTATTCATGTACAGTCGTTGGCCTGACAAGAACTGCGAAAGATAATTACATGAGGATCTTCTATATAGGGCAAACAGCCAGCTCTCTGTTTGACGGCCAACGTTTCACATTTTTTAAGCATATTTTCAAGATGCTGCCAATTATGTCCTTTCTCGAAAACAATCTCCCAATATCGGTCGTCCTTCAATTCTATTTTTTTAATATTACACAGTTGCGGGAGTAAACACGGTGCTTCAAGTACCAAATCTTGTCCGTCCGCATCCTTCTCAGATTCGAACGTCAAGTGTACCGTCGCGTAGCAGTACTGATGGCTATCGATATCTCTAGGTAAAATCACGCGTGGCTCGGCAGCCAGTACGTATAAATGCCGCAGTGCTTGCAAATGATATCTATCGATTAATAAAGAAAGAGGATAGTTGCGATGTAGGCGATTCTTCAAGATAGAGATTAATCGCTGTGATGTGCTGTTCAAAACCTGTTATCGTTGCTGTGCGTTGGGAATTTCGGGAAGAGAGATATTACGAGGGCAGCTACTGCGCTGGCGCTGTTGGAAAGAGTATATTTCCCTCCTCCAAGGAAAAGAAGGCCAAGGGCCATGTGCGTTGCCAAATGAGACCCATACGTGACCACGCTGCTCGCAGGACCAACGCGCGTTCTTATGTGCCGACATATTCGCATGATCTAAGCGAACGATCGAACAAATTTGAAACGCTTAGTAACGATGGAGCGGCTATTAAACTCACCTCCAAATTTCCAGTTCCTGCCATAACGACAGCAGCTGCGAGTAAAGTAACGTTTAGACAAGTTTCGATAGTTGATTTTCCTGCCAGCTCGGCGATGGTCTTGTGCGACAATGCTGTAAACATCTGGGCATAATTGTACAACGTTTTGAAAGCATTCCTATTGGCAGTTCCGGCGAATTTTAAGCCCAGAGCCATACACGCACCCGCGATTATGTTACAATAAGCCTGGCTATATCGTGATCGATTCTAATTAGTACGTAAAAGGAGTTGTAACCATTTGATTTTGATTGTGTTCGTGTACTAACTTCATGGTTTCCAAATCCACGTTCTGTGCCATTTCGGAAGTCGGTTTCTGAAGTCTGTACTTGTACACGATGTTAGGAACGTGACTGGAGACCCACGATTTTGTCGGTTCAATTTCATCCCAAAGAATAAGTGATTTTGCTAATATTCTTAGCAGTAGGAAATCGGGTCGTACAAAATCCAACAAGTACTGAGTATCGGGAGCTTGCATCCATTCCGCGACTGCTCGGTTTCCTGTATTAAAATACATTAAACCCAGAGCTATAGTTGCCCCAGGACTCGTCACGTCAATGTTTATGGAATCACCCTCCCTTATTTGATAACTAAAAATCATGAATCAGAATATGCAAAACAATCATTATCAAGACATCAGTTACGAGCGCAAGTTTACCTAGGCGATTTATATTTATCCTTTTGCGCCCCGGTAAGAGGTCTGATGTGGCCTCCAACCATGTAATAATGTAAAGTATCCGGTATATTGCCCAAGTCTGGTCCACCGCCGCATCCCAGCACCACTAAACCCAATGCGAGACCTGCCGCCAAAGAATAGGATTCGCGATCCACGCAATTCTTCATTTCCGGCCCAGGTGGTCTGCCTTCAAATAATTTTGTCGAATCAGTAGAACCGTATTCGATCGAAAATTAGAGCGTTAACGCGGTGGATATTTACCGATTTCTGATAGTAGAGCATGGGAAATGTGCCTATGGGCAGTTGCTTGATACACCAAGCCGACCCCCATCAACGCGGCGACCTGGACGTTTTGCTGAACATTCAATTCGATGCTCGTCGGTGGTAATAAAGATTCCACGTGAAGAGATAATAACTTAGTCATAGAGACGTTCATTGTACTGCGGTGGGTCGCGGATAAACCCAACAAAAGTCCGACGCTGGTGGCTTCGTGGCACTCGACTAAGTATTCGTACATGCTGAACGGTGCCAAGTTCTTCAGGTGGCCGTTTAAACCGAGTGCCATTAAGAAACCCGAGTGTTCGATACCAAGTTCGCCCTGTTGCTGTTTGTTGTAAACTATCCACGTTGAATCGATATTAGACGCGTCTGGATGAATGCAGAGCCCGGCAGCCACGCCATTATGAAACAGAGGCCACAAGTTCATGTTTGATGGGACGTCTATGTGGGCCAGTTCCACAGTCGTCCCACGCGGAGGTGCTTTTCCTGTAAACGAATAATAACATTTCGCGATCGATGAAGAGTACTAGAATTCCAAGTATCACGCCGCTCGATTCATACCAGTTAAACAGAGTCGAGGAATCGGTAATTGCTCGGTGATAATGGGGGTAGAGGTTCTCAACGTAAACATGCCTCTAGCTACTGAAAGTGCCATCGTTCTTGTGCACAGAGCATGCAAATGTTTCTCCTGTTCCTCTATGAACTCGTGATCGCTTATATCTGGCCTCTGAACTATAGCTATTTTTACCGGTTTCGATGAATTTAGGAGCTTTCGAACTTCCGCTATCCTGTGATCTTTATTGAATCTCAATTTCAACACCTGTAAAATGTTGGAATTAGTTGTCGCAGAGAGTAATCAAGAAATATCTCTGATGAGAAAGCTCACGGAATCGTCAAACTCCATGCCATCATCTTGTTCAGGATCTTTGTTTAAAATCGGATAGTTTTTTCCTTCGTTCTCCAAATCGCTTGGCGAAGATGGCCTCAAGTGTTTGTCTAACGCAGACAAATCTTGTCGATCTACTAGCTCGTAAACTTGCATTGGCCAGTTTGATGGCGGGCGTTCTCTACATCTGTACATAACATCCTTCAGCAGTAACGATACACCGGGCAACAATGTATCAAGATCCTTTTTTGTCATACCTGCAGGATTATTTTAATGTTCGACTCAAGATTAAGAGCTTGATAATAAACAAGCAAGGCGCTCACCTAATTCGTGATATAGTAATACTGTTCTATCTATCGTGCAACACTCGACTCTCTTTTGTATTTCTTTCTCGGGTCTGCTTCCAGCTTCTTGAAAATCTATTCGGCTGCCAGCCGGTATTATAAGCTTGACGAATTTATCAATTTCTATCACGTTAACTTTATTTTCGTTCGCTACGAGAGCTATCAAGTAAATTATATTTCTCGTCTTTGGATTGACTTGATTCAAGTACGGGAACGGTATTACTTCCATCCCATTTAACAAATCATTTAACGTCTCAAATATATTTGGCGGTTTCGATGGTATGTAATTCGGCATAGAGATTTTTTGCAAGTCCGCCTCCTTAATTTGCGACACACTGTCCTTTAAACAGTGGACAGACGGAAAATCGAGGAAATAATGATGGGCGTATAGGTCGAGTCTTAAATCTAAGCTCAATTGGTACAACAATTGCGCGAGGAACGGCAAACTTTCCAACATTACGCAGTTCAGTTTCAATTCCTCGTACAAGAGATGTAAAGAAAATAGAACGATCGGGAAGCATGGAAACATGATCGCCTGCGTGTTTATTTTTCCTGCAGCGTTCGGTTCCGTGGACCATGATGTCGATGATCGAAGCGCATCAGACATCTTTTGAAGACTGGGTGTATTCGGAATAAAAATCTTCGAGTTTCCACTTTTCAGCGAATTAATCATGTTCTTCCAATCATCGTTCGATCCAGAATTATTCGTTTTTTGTTTCTTTGGCACCACCATGGGACTGCTACGTTCACCAAGTTGATCCTTGTCGTTCGTTTGGATCAGTGGCATTTTTTCGACTTCGTATCCTAGCAATGTAAATAAAATTACGACAAAGAGATGCCACTCTTTCTCCGACGAGAAATCTTGAGGCCCAGGAGCATTTCTTGCTCCGTACCATTTCACTAACAATTGCATCGCCAGATCCTTCTGTAAAACGCTCTTTAACGTTTGCAGACACCTGGTTACTACAAAAGAATACTTCTTACTTGATTAGAATAAACGCAATTGTTCTAGCTACATTCAACTTACCTAAGGGAGATGTACTGGACGTTGGCAATGTTATTCGGAAATAATTTTTATTTCCGTATTCCAATGTAACATTGTTTCCGACTGATTCTTTTAAAATTAGATGATCGGGCTCCATTAAAGAATTCTCCAACAACATAGGCGGCCTTGCACAGTTACCGCCTACAGGACTCAACAGATGTAGTCCTTCTTCGAACTTGATATCGTGCGTAGTACAGTTCTGAGAGATCAACGAACTTCGACGTGGAAACGGTGAACTTAATTTGTGGTTCATGTTCGATAAGAAATAATTACAACCAGTCAAATTAGGAAGTATTCCTGTTACATGTAATTTACCAACGCAAGTAATACCGGAATATAATACGACTCCGTTCGATAGATCCATTACTGCTATCATATGCAAATTCTATGAAAGAACGACCTCTTGTAACACTTTTGACATTGTTTCGAATGCGTACGGAAGATATTGATGAGTACTAACTGGTATATTAACAGCATCCTTCGCCACAATATTGGTCACCATGCCGAAAATGATTTGTTGCTGCTTGTTCGTCTTCTCGAGTCGTACTAAAAATAGTTGCGATCTAACTGGAACCAAGTAACATAGATAATTCTGGCCCACGAAATCCGATGATAGAAATACTTTCGATGCTCGACTGGATACGTCTCTTGAAAAAATACATATCCATTAATACGTGTCTTAATCTTTCGAAGTATAGATAAATCCAAGTATAGGTAAAGTTACTTTGGAATTCCAACGTTCTCGGTCCAGACATGATCGAGACATATTTCTGGGTACAAAGGCTTGCTCGGTGTGATAACACCCTGTAGCTGCATGTTGCTACAGCTTCCAAAGGGGCTGATCTGCGAATGACCCAGTGTCGTGGCCATTACCCTTTGGTGCAATTTTGTCAGATGACAAATTGAACCAGCAGGCATACCAAGTAGAGGTGAGAAAGCAGAATGAGTAGGGGACTGGCAGCGTGAGATAGTTGCCATTGGACTCTGAGATCTTGAATGTTGCTGCTGCGAAGGAGACACACCTCCGGAGCAAGAGGTAGTATAAGACGTTCGCGATCCGAAAGGACTGAGCGACAATCCTAACCCGAGGTTTAGTTGCGGATTCGGGACTCCTAAGATGCAAATATAAATTCTGGTCTGACTTTCTCTGGGGAAAGAAGATGGCATCGAACTTACCGAATATACTTAAATGTCCTTTATTCGTACTTTTGTTATATGAAAGAGTATTCCCAATGTTCAATGGCGATACGCTCGCTGATTGATTATATATACTGGAGGTAGTGTCATTTCCGCAAACGGTTTGACATTCTTCCAGTGTAGCTTTACGAATTTTGTACACAGAATGTAATCCAGTCTTTGTATCGTATATCACAGCCAGAGATGGTTCAGAATTCGTAAATACAATTTGTTGAGACGAATCATACATGTACGATATGTTCCCTATAAAGAATATATTTATATAATATAACAATTCTTACTCCAATTCGAACGATTGGTGTTAGGAATTATATACCGTGTTTCACAAGTACAGGGCAGATTTCGTCTAAAGGATGCGTAAGAGAAAATGCCACTGGTAAATTTGTATAATTATGCGATTGCAATCTATTTCCATCCATTGATGTGTATCTACAACCATCAATTACAATGGAAATTATAATTATACATATTAAACCATCTTGAAAATCTCGAGATAAACCTTGTATCCGATGTGGGAACTTGAGTCTTCTCCAATAAAATCCCATATTTGGTTGACCACACGGCAGATACCTAAGTTACAATGCAATTAGATGATGTACTAATTGTTCATGTCTGATTAAATTAGTCCAGCTATACCTGAAATTGTAAGCTGCATACATAGTTTTCTCCGGTATCAGCAAACACTTTCAGGGTATAAGAATCAATTAAACAAATACATTCTATCGTTTTCTCATTGCAAGTTTCTTCTTCCACTTGTTTCCCACGTTTCAAATGATCAGGTATACTGGTATGAAACTTGCACCATAGCGCATGTTTAATATCTGTCTCACAAGTGTAGGTCGTTTGCAGTACTCTTGTAGTCTGATTACCCTTCGAGTGGATCGCGACTTTCCCTGAACAATACAATTCTTCCTCCCCGCATATGTTGTTTTCGCGTATGATCCAGAACTCTTTCTGCAGATGCACAGTAGTTTCACAATAATTATTCAATAGGGATATTAGAAAGAATCGCACTTACCGGTGATCTCCCTGAAATATTCACTTGGCTAAATTTTTGCAGCAAGATACTTTCCCCTTCGACCGTTTGATTGTTCAATTGTTGATTAGCTACTGATTCTGGATGCCTCAAAATTGTACGTCTTCCACCGGGAACGTATTCCTGAAAGAGGTGCATCGAAACATTTGTTTCTAATAACGAGTGTTTATCGATCCCCTTAACCTGAAGAGTATTTCGTTTACCACTGGTTCTGAGGCGGCAATCATCTTTTCCTTGGTTTCATCCAGATTTGCAGACTCTGATAACTGAAGTCTTGAGAGAATAAATATGTCAGTACACCCTTCAAGTCACTTTTTACGGTTGTTTGGAGATATCGTGAAAATACGAGGTCGACAGAGCATGGATCATTACGACGATCTACGATGATCGCCATATGCGCGCGGGTAAAAAATTTTGAACGTGTATCGTATCTCATATCTCAGGTGCGATCAGATATGTAGATAATAAATGAAGGCATAGGATGAGAGGGATTCTTGAATATTTTAGATACGTTCATTCAATGATTGATCAGATTCGCGGTGGTAGTAATAAATAATGAATTCTTTATTACAAATAAAAGTACAGTTATTAAAGTAGTATAAATATTACACATACGTTAGTCGTACAATACTGGCTATAAATATTAATTCACAACATTTAAATAAAATGCACCTTAAGTTTTAAGTCATTTGAGTTAATATATATAAAAGATTGTATAAAATTACGAGTTCATTTATACGAATAAATAACGTGTCCGTAAGTAATCGACTAAAACATGATCGTGTACTTATATCACAGTTAAAAAAAAAGAAGATACGAACACAAAATAAATATTAGATGCCCTACATACGTTTTAGTACCATTCACTCGGGAATCGATAAGATATTCCTAAGCAATCTCATATTCGCGACGTTTATTATTTTACTTAATTGCCATTTACTTGTTGCACGTGAAACCATGTGAAGTTGCAATCGTCATTAGTTCGTTATAAAAATCGATGTAACCCATTGTATGTGTAAAGAGTTTATAGATTTATTTTACCAAAGCATACATATTTACAAAATACTTTGCAAAATTGTTACTATAGATAGAAATTACATTATACTCTCTATAACATTAACTCGTTCAATTCAAGTTGCTTTTGTTTTTGCCCCGTTCCGTTTTCATTTAAATACAAGTCAGTTTCTGGATTAAATGTAATAAAATTATAAACGGTATAAAAAGAACACGAATGCGAAACTTATACGGTAATGATATTTACGAGAATGTTCCATTTGATAAGTTAAAAAGGTTCTCTAGCTTTGGAAACTTGTATATATACACTTCCAAGGAATCTTAATGAAGAAATTCCATTTAAAAATATAATGAAAATTTTATTTTCGAACTAGAATTAAATAAATATTTGGCGTATTAAAATAGATAAAAAAAGAGAAAATCATAAAAATTCAAGTCATATTACACTGCCTTCTTTTACACATATATATATATTACGTCCCATTTTAATTAATCAAGAATGCACTTGACGATCCCTTGGAATATATTTGCACTTTAAATAAGACTTAAAGGTTCGTCCTTGTTCGAAAGATTTGCGATATTAAAAGCATTCATAGAGCACGGTATACACGGTACACGTTGATTTTTGTGCCGAGTGTGCCATTATTTACGTGTTGTACTTAAATTATCTGACGTAACATTATAAATCTTTCTAAATTAAATTCAAAACGTTTTACGATGAATCGCTCTTGTACCTTCTTCATCGTATTCTTTTTTACTAACCCACATCTTCTTGAAAGTATCTAAAGAAGCCAAAATGGAACCCCCGATCCAAGTACTGTACAATCGTTCTTGAGGAGCCGATATCTATCGGGGATCAAACATTTCCATCAGACAACGTTCCAATAAACAATTATGATACTACAGATTGTGTATACATACCCTAATTTTTACATCTTTTGGTGCCAGTTTGCGTATCTCGGATAATAATCTATCGCCGAATCCCTAATACACAAATTGTACATGTTACAGCTTTTTACATTTGATTTTCGTACGATACCTGTTAAATCTGTACTTACGCGGAATAAAGTTGATCCTCCTGACAGGACGATATTTTGGAATAATACTTTCCTTAAATCTAAATCAGATTTCTGAATGGAATACGTCAATACTTCGTGCAGTCCTTCGCATTCCTCTCCAATTAGATCTGGTCTAAAGAGCACTTCCGGAGCTCTAAAGCGCGCTGGTCCGATCTAGTGTAAACAAATGGCATACTCTGCATACATCAAACGATAGGAAACCGGGGGATTCCAAACAGGTTTAGAATCCAATTACTCGAACAAATTGAATAGCCAGTCTTGGCAGAAACTTGCTTTACCTCCAAGTAACTCCCATCGGGTAATGTATACTGGAATTTTTCTGTATCTATTGTTTCTTCTTTCTGAGGATTGCTAGCGAGGTAGCACGCTCTTTCTTTAATGGTTCTAACAATCTCGAATTCTGCGGTAGTTCTGAAATTAATACCCTCTTTACGTAAAAGAAGTCGGAGGTGCCTCGTGACATCGCGTCCTGCTATATCGATCCTCATGATGCTATGAGGCATAGCAAAGCCTTCGTAAATCGGTACTGCATGCGTGACACCGTCCCCAGAATCTAAAACAACTCCTGTAGTTCGTCCCGTGGCGTACCTGTTGGATTCAAATAATATAGTCACAATCGTAGTAATGAATAAAGACACAGAAACGGTCACAAATTCGATGCTTACAGACTAAGTACAGCTTGCATCGAGACGAATAAAGCTGGAACGTTGAAGGTCTCAAAGAATATTTCCGCTGCCTTTTCTCTATTTTTTCTTGGATTAAGAGGTGCTTCTGTTAGCAAAACTGGATGTTCTTCGCTGAACGTCGTTAATTGGTCTTTACTATATACATAAGACCAGATCCTTTCCATGTCGTTCCAATCTGTGACAACTCCGTGTTCCATCGGATAACGGATAGATAAAAGACCGCGATGTTCCTCCGCTACGGGCCCCAGGAAAAGATCCCCTTCCAAAGCACCAGCCATGACACGAACATGTTTCGGTCTGCCGATACTGTACAAAAATATGTTACTCAATACGATTGCGATAGCTTTTTAGGATTCATTACTACTCGTCTTTTAATCTGATCGTTAGTTTCGTGTTCCATTTTGGCATCTATTGACATATTAAATTCTCTTTTGACCACATAATAGTTTAATGTTATTGTAATATGTAATAATATTACTACAAATCGAAAGATGGGTCATACAGTTTCACTGGAATAGAAATCGACTGAACATGATAATTAAACGTGAAGCTACTCGTACATCTCGCCTGTATCAAAAGTATTGAAATTGCTACTGTCCATAAGTTCGAGGTAACGTGAGCACTGTCGAGAATGTCAATTAGCTAATACCAGTAGAATTACTCACTAGTTTGGAAATCTGCATTTTGGTATCTGATCGCCTGCAAATCCTGCTTTAATTACACCAGACCCCTGGAAGAAGGTGCAAAAGATCGTGTTATATTATAATATTGATGTAAAGCAGATGAAATTATTTCATCGGTGGTAGAGTGCCAAAATTGCATCGTACAAAGCGCAGTACGTAATGCTAATGGTTTTAAAAAGTGAGTGCTAGATTTTCTAGCGTTACTTTCGAGCCGACATTATGGTACGATTCAATTTGACACGATACGACAGATGAGATCAGAGGATTTACAAATATGATAGATCGCTTACGTTGTCGATAACTACAGGTTGATTAACTATTACATCGTAGGTCTCCATAGTTATCTAAAAACCGCACTATTTTATATAAGAACTTTGGAAATTGAGAATCGTAACCCTACAGTCGCACACCTATTCTCTGGTGAGCTCTGAAGGGAGGTGAAGTTATTGACAGTTAGCTGACATAAAATGTATCGCTACTTACTTCACTCTGCTAGAACCAGAAGTTAACATATCTTACGTTTTCATCCCGTTAAGGGTATACAGGAGCGACGGGCCAACTCCGAATTGATCTTGGAGGCCTCGTGCGGAGAAACTGAGAAACTCCGAGTAAAGGACAGACTGATCCTTGTCTCTCCTGTATTGCTCTGTCCGAATCCGAGCTAAAATTCCTTTTCGGCCGTCTCGTGGCTATCGCGGCAGAACGTAGCAACTTTAGACGGTGCCCGCGCTTAAAAATTTTAACAAATTTTTAAATCTGCCTGAAAAAATGTAGAAAATCTGAAATTTATGAATAAAACAGTATGCAAATTGGAATATATAACATTTATTTATAAAGAAAATTTGTCAGGAATAAGGCAGGTAAGGTAAGATTTATTTGTTTAATTTATAATTAAGCTGGAGATCCTTTTTTGTAAGCAGCACAGTTGTAATT